AAAGAGACAATCATTTTCCAGACGCTGAAAAAAAGAAAGAATGGTTGTGTGTATATACAGTAACTGTTTTCTATCGACGTTGTTTCAAGCACTACTTTAACTTCACTGCTCTTACAAACGTCCTCCAGCACTGAAACTAGTCTTGTAGAAAAAAAAAAAAAAGCATTTTAATGACTCAGTGTTGTTTGAATATTGTTCCCAAGAGTCGCGTGTTTTATCTTTTATGTTTCCAGACAGTTTGTCACTTTAGCTCAAAACAAAATGGTGCCATAACGGTGAGCTCCGACTTACCGTCGTTCAGTAAATATGTTTCCAAACACTCTAGGTAAAATAATAAACCTTCTTTCAGTATCTTTATAATCCACTTTGTCCACAGAGTAACTTTAGAAGTGAATTAATCGCTTTATATTTATGCCGTGAGTCGTTTCATCAGAGTGGAAACCGAACTGAACTTTGAAACCAAACTCTCCATTAGCTGTTCAATGTTTTTAAAAGCACACAGACTTTATTTTGCTACTTTTATCACTGAAAGTCGTAGTTGTACGTAAACTGAACTCTAAAAAACAGTTTGTCTTCGAGCCATGTGTTGAAATGTGCTCTGGGATCCTGGAAATAAAAGGATTTTGTGCAAACACCCTCAACCGTCTCTTCTTCTTTATTCTCTCTGTTTACTGACGTCCTGTCTTTTTTCAGACCCCGTCGTTCCTCACCTGCCCACCAGGCGTCAGTGTAGCACCCCTCTCCATCCATCACCTGACCTGCTCACCTGTTCCCTCAGCTGCCCCCCCCCCCCAGGTCCCTTCAATGCAGAGTAGCCTTACAGGAGAGTTAGGTAAGAACTCAGAAGAGCTGTTGTGGGTCACATGTATTTTATTATTATTGTTTAAATCCCTTAAATGTAAGTGCAAGACTTTTATTCATGACGCCGATGAAAACTAAAGACAGTGAAGGTGTTTCTGAAAGAACTCAAACTTATTATGGACATTTCTTTGAATCGATATCTCAGATGTTAGAGCTGGAAGTTGAGAGAACATTAAACAATAGAAGAAGAAAGGTTGATCGCTGCCTTCACCTCTGATGATAAATAATGGAGGTGATACTGAGAGTTGGACGCAGCGGTTGTTCAGAGCGAGGGACGATTCTCCGAAGACTTTAGGCCTCAAGTTGTGTTGATGAGTTAATAGATGATAAGTTGATGATGATGATGAAATCCAGCCACAGCTGCATTATGGGACACTGAAGTGACGCACGCCACCAACAACCTGAGGACGCTTTTAGCTGCTGTCACTGAAAACACACACACACACACACACACAACACTGCCGTCCATTTCCACCCACTCGCTCTGATGCTTTTAGCACCAGAGGACGTGTGAACTCACACCCAGCGGAGAGCAAACAAACACACACTGATACCAGAGGTGATCCGCAGCAGATCACTGAGGAGCAGGAACACAGACATCGACAGAAACTGATCAACATCCCTGAACTGGCTCAATCAGTCTTCCAGGCTGAGATCACTTCAGAAGACAAGGAGACAAAGATGAGTTCCACCTCCGGGGACGAGGGACGGACCTCCTCCTGGATCTCCTCTTCTTCTACATCTCATCACATTTACCACCTTCAGCTGCAGGACGGGTTATTCTCAAAATCAAAGCATCTGTGGGATGATTTTCAAAGATCTAAAAACCCAGCAGCATACGATGTGACCTCTGGACGAGCCGGGAAGGACCGAGAGGAATTTATAATCATCGTCTAATATTAAAATAAAGGTATTTCTTTAAGAAGCAGGACAAGTAGCCAGAGAGCTGCTGCATGTGAGGCTTCTTCTCCTCAGAGTGCAGAACTCTGTCTGCTGCCGCCTGTACATCTTTAATGACCCGCCCCGAATCATTTATGAGAGTTTTTCTTCCCCCGCAGTCTTCAGCCGGTTAACTTTGCCCGCTTGTGACGTGATCAATCATCCAAGCAAGATGTTTGTGTGTCCCACTTTAGCTTCTGTGGGCCACCGCGCCACACACCCGCCGCCACGGGCCGCCGGCGAGGCCCGCTGGGAGAGCCGAGGCCTCGCGGAGGCTGAGGAGGAGGCGGAGAGAGAAGGAATGTTGTTGATGTGTTGGTCACTGAGATAATTCACCACATTACAAATGCTCCTGGAAACCAGGAGGACGATGACTCGGTGGTTTCTGTTGTGGAGACATCTGGATCCAAACTGTGATCACACGACGACGAAAACTACAAACAGCTGGAAACGTAGAGGTGAAAGAAAACTATGACATCTACAAGAAACACGTCAATCACAGAGAGAGAGAGAGAGAGATAGATACAGAGAGAGAGAGATAGATAGAACGATAGAATGATAGATGGATAAATAGATAGATAGACGGTTGTGTGTCGCTCCTGCTGCATAGAAAAGATATGAAATATTTAATGACCATCTATAACCACTCAGGTCTTTTCCCTGATGGAGAATATGGACCCTGATGTTTCTGTGAGCGAGTGCAGAGCTGCTGACCTGTTTTTAAACCGCTCAGGAAGACAAACACTCAAACACTTCTACGACCACAGTATCACCTGTAGTCGTAACTCTGGTGTTTTCATCTTTTCTTACTTTCCCCACAATGCAAATGCCGATTCAGGTTCATTGTTTGTTTTTTTTTAAATTCCAGTAAAACCGTTCCATCTCAGAGATCGAGAGGTGAATTGTAACAAATTTAAAATCACAGTAATCTGAACAATCTCCAGAAGCTCCTCTCGTTGGTCCTGATTGATCGCTGCCCGATCGATTATCACCCAAGTGTGTTTCTAGTAATGTCCCTCTTTCTATTGGTCCATATGCAGAGCTGCAGCAGGAAGCACTGATCCCCCCCCCCCCTCCTCTCCACCCGTCGGCCTGTCAATGTGCATTACCTCCGCCCCGGCGGCCAGATACTCCTGCTGCACTTCCTCTGCTCTCCCTCCTGCAGGTGAAACTCACTCCTGCTCTGCCAGAGGAAACCATGAATAATGGACCTGGACTTTATTTGTGGTGACGTTACGATAATAGATACAAAGTGTTTTCCAGACAATAAAACATGAATGAGCAAAGAAGAAACTGTGAAATCTGACAGGATTGAAAGGCTGAGGATGAATTTGATGTTAGATCACCTTCAGTCCTTCTCAGGGACTTTGGTGGGACCCCCCCCCCCCCCCCCCCAACGATGAACCCCCTGATTGTCTTTTAATTTCCCACCGAGCTATCGTCTCTGCTGCCGGTGACGCAGAAAGCTCCTCACGGCCGATCAGACCAGGTTCCACCAGAGAGCTAATGGCTGGTGTTAACAGGCAGGGGGAGGCTTTTAGGGAGGAAACACCCCCCCCACCCACCCACCCACATACGCAGCCTCAACCCTCACCTCCACCTCCCCCCTCTCGTCGCTGTAACCCAGATCTGAGCTGCGACTGTAAAAACACATCCAGCTCATTTTCACACTCACAGCTAGTTTAACTCCTCCGACCCCAGATGTTCTATTATAACTGTAGCACATTATCACTCAGTCACACACAGTATATATATATATATATATATATTTCTATTTAATTGTAAATTAAATTAAATACACTTGCACCTAGTTTCTTGTTTGAGTGAAGCGGGGATGCTGGTGACTCTGAGGAGTGTTGTTGTGATTTAATGACAAAGGTCACGTACGCTCAGCAGAGTCGTACAGAGGTCAGTGTTTTGAATGTAGATTCTCGGCTGCTCTGTATCGCCCTGCGTTAACCTGACGGTGAGCGGACGAGACAACAGATAATCAATCAGAATGGATCAAATCAGGACAACGTCTGAGTCTGTTTCCTAAAATCAGCTTGAGAAGTTGCAGGTGGTCGAAGTCAGTGTGCAGCTAAAAGGTCACAAAACCTCCAGAGGACGTGTGTGTGTGTGTGTGTGTGTGTGTGTCTGCGGGATGCTGCAGTTGAATGTCCTGACCTTTACTGAGAGCAGCCCGCAGGCTCCGACCTCAGCGTGATGCTCAGGTCAAACCACCACAGAGTTTCCTGTGCGGACCAGAGGTTTGACTGACAGCTCTGTGACACACCCAGCAAACTGTGCCGCTCCAATAAGAAATAAGTCTTCAACAACGTTCTGTCAGTTTCTTAACGAGTCATGAAGAAGCAACGAAACTAGAAAGTGAAATATAAAAACAGCTTTTGCAAACAGATGAGTAAGAAAAGACGTGGTGTTGTTTGTTTACGTTGTTTACGTCACACTGTAAACATGTCACCGTGTAAACACCGGCTCTGTTTACGCTCGGCCGGGGTTTTGTTTGACAGGGAAATGTTTCTCTGCGTTGTCTCCGGCGACAACGCTTCACTGAGCGGCTTCACCCGCACGGTTTGACCTTTAACCCCCAACCTTCAAACACCACCCACTTCATGTCAATATGGCAAAACAGGTTGGATCAGCGTGTTTGTTTTGTCAACCCCAGCAGATGAGGTGGGTGGATAGGCAATGAAATATTAATGCCACCGGCTGAAAGACAGAAAACTGCTCCTGTCAGACGACTGTCGTCTGTTCCATGTTTTATCTGCTGATTCACTTCAGGCTAAATTCATTCTCATTTGTTCCTAGTTTGCATAAACATATTCAAGTTTATGTATTTATTTATTTTCAATCCTAAAAAATCACAACCACATTTCACTTTCTTACCTTTCCTCTACTTTTTGTACCAGTGGTATCAATCACAGTCTTTTGTTAGCTGCAGCATCAGTTGGGGTATTTGTATCAGTACTAGGTTATAGCAGAGTTGCGGTACTTCTGTTGCAGTAACAGTATTTGTAGATTTCAGTGCAGTACTAGTGGTAGTTGTATTTCCACCACCTCCTCCAGTCACACTCATATAAATATTTGTGCGTGAATCAGAACCTCGCTGACCTTTTCCTCCGAGAGCAGGACAACTGTGCCGAGACGACGCAGAAAAAAGGAAACACGGGAAGAAGGAAAAGAAAAAGAGGAGATGGGAGATGAAGAGAAAGAGGAAGAAGAGATGAGACGTGAAGGAAAGGAAGAAGGAAACAGTAGACGGAGGAAGAGAAGTGAGTAGTGTTGGTTTGGAGGTCACGGCCTCCCCCCTGTTGGTCTGATGGATCCACACTGACAACCAGAGACCGCTGGAGACGCTCTCTCCAGTGTGTGTGTGTGTGTGTGTGAGAGAGAGAGAGAGCGAGACAGAGTTAGAATACACACTGAACCAACACACACACTTCTTTTCCCAGTTTCCCCCGGAGGTGTTTTCTCTGTCGAAGCTCCATTTTACACACACACACAAACACAGAGGTCAGAGGTCACACAGGAAATACTTCACCACTTCACCTCCGTCAGAATGGACGAGGAACTAAAAAGTCAAAGCACACGTCAAATTAGCTGTTACTACTACAACTAGTACTAGTGGTACTAGTAGTAGTAGTAGTAGTACTAGTAGTAGTAGTAGTAGTGGTACCTTCCTCCTCTGAGTCGTCTCTTCATCGTCTCTCTTTGTACTAATTTAAATATTTGTGTATGAATCAGATTCTCACTGACCTCTTCCCCTCACACACACACACACACACACACACTAAGATGATGAAGACGATGGTGACGATGAAGGTAGCGACAGCAGTGATGATGGTTATTCACAGAAAGGGCTTCACACTCGTCAGGAGTCAGCGTCTTCACTGTCGTCACATCTGACACCAGTTTGTACGACACACTTACGATCAAGACTCAAGTTCATCCATTAAAACCTGATTCATGAAACTTCACTTCAAGTTCAAATGAACTTTTTTTATTTGTAGAGATACACGTCGGTGAACATGTACACACTGGAGACATGCACATACAGTTGTACTCTCTCTCTCTCTCTCTCTCTCTCACAGTCGTTAACATCAGCATTAATTAAAAGTCACATCAGCGTTGACACCACCCGTCAGATCTGAGGACCTGGTTGAGGACTTGACAGCGGCAGGGACAATCTTCTCCGGCCGACCCGCTCTTTCGTTGCGTTGACCTCTGTGACCTCTCGGAGTCTCTAACTGTCGGTGATTCAGAGACGCCATGTTGGATCCGAGGAGGAGCGAGAACGAGCCGCCGTGATGTCTTCATCACACACACACACACACACACACATTCACACGTACTGTACAAGTTTACACGCCCACAGGTCTGATGTCGAGTGTAAATAACGAGTGGTGACTCTTTTGGACTGAGGTGTGAGTGAGTGACAGCGAGACGACGGACAGACGACGGTTCAGCTTCTGTCAGAGAGTGACTGTTGGTCACACAGTCAACACACACACACCTCAGACATCTTTCTTTATCTTTGTTATTTTTATACTTTAATTATATATTACTACTTCTGCTACTACTACTACTCCTAACACTTGTACTTCTCTTTCCAAACAGGCCTGTTTCGCCACCTGCTGGTCATCAGTGAAAACTACAGTTTGAGTGCTGCACCTGAAAGATCACAGAGCAGAGGTGAGAAATACTCAAATACTCACATATGTATATATGAGTATATGTATATTGTGAGAAAATAACATTGATAAGCACTACCTTAACACGTTGGGCCTCTCACTGTTTTCTGCTGACATGATATTTCAAGTATCTATCAACGTATAACTGGAGGCTGCTGGGTAATAAATGACCACTTAGTAAAACTCAAACGTTTCTGCCACATTAACCAATGTCATGAGGATCTCAGCCGTGTAAACCTGCAGAAGTTCAGAACAATGACAGTAAACATGAAGAAGAGTTAAAGACAAACAGTAATGATGAAGACTAATGTCTCCATCAGCAGCAGAACATGGAGGTAATCCTCGTCCACGGGGATTAACGATTAGCGTCTTCGTTGAGACTGGGGCAGCGTTCATGAGCTTCACTGTCAGGGTTTCCTCCTGTAATCCTCCTGCTCTCTGATAGTCTGACGCCTGGAAACGCACTCGCCGCCTTCAGCTGGACGCATGTGAGCGGGGACCACCGGCTCATGCTGCTGTGGCCGGGGCCGCAGGATTAGAGATACACTTAACAGACCATATGAATTATCAGTAACATCCATACGACACATGTTTGTGTTTCACAGATACAGAAAATCACTTTGTTGTAGAGCCCCCACTTACTCGTGTTCGCAGATGAATATTAGTTGGACTAGAAGGTGATTTAGAGGAGTAGTGATAGTAGAAGTGTGCGTTACAGTACTAGTACTAGTATTACTTGTAGAAGTATCAATGAGTTAGTGGCAGGATTTCTTTGTCTGTGAAATTTAGTCAAATGAAAAATACTGTAGTTTGATTTCTGATGGATAAAAGTTTTATGATTGGAGGATCAGTTCTTCATTACTGTGTGAAGTCGACACTGGACGTGTATTTTGCAGCTGAAGCAGGTTCCTGGTGACACTGGAAACAACAATCAGGTAAAGTGTACAGTAGGGAGGTAACACAAGTCGTTTCAGGCTGCAGAACGATTATCCAGGTCAAGTCAAAGGGCTGCAGTGAAACTGGATCCCTGCAGACAACTGATATCTGTGAGAGGAAACGCTACTGTACCGCCGCCGCCGCCGCCACCACCACCGCCACCACACTGTCTGCTGGGAGGAAGTGAAGCTCCTGCAGCGCCGAGGTCTGAGTGAAGCAACACACACAGTTCAGAAACACACCAAAAGACACAAACTCAACAGGAACAGAGAAGAAGATGAGGAAGACGAGGTCACACCGCTTCTTCTTCTGACACCAAGAAAAACTGAAGTACGTGAGTCAGCTCTGAGCCGCAGAGAGTTTGAGTTAAAGACCTGCAGGACACTCTGCTGTAAGCTCCCACTCCTCAATTAATGGAGGGAGCACGGTGGCGGAGAGTGGTTTATCTGGGCCGAGGATTTGGACGTATTACTGTAATCTGTCTCTCTGTGACCAACAGGTCCGCTCTGTCCAATACGTCCCCGCCTCATCCTACAGATGAGGGTAAATAATGGCACATCTGTTAAGACTCAGAACTTCAGCAGATTGAAAACCTTTTCCTAATTTAGATTTTGAAGATTTTGTGCAAAGGAAAACTTTCTTTTGGTTTTCAGGTGGATTCTTTTTTTCTTGATCACTGGTTTGAATCTGTCTCCCTCGTAATTCTATGTGCGACACCTTTTCAAATATCGGTTCTTCGTAGATTTCTGACGCTTAATCCGACGTAATCACCAGAAAATCACAGGGCGCCTACAGGAGCCGACCCTGACCTCTGACCTCACACTGATTGACTGTTCCAGCACATCAAGGGACCACAGGCATCGTGTAAAGCCCTGGATTTCAAAATAAAACTCTCATCTAGTCGCAAAAAACTGAAAACGTAGAAATTTTAAATAT